AATAAACATGGGTGTGCAGGTGTCTCTGGAGTGACCTGTGTCACAGTCTTTTGGGTATATCCCCAAGAGTGGTATTGCTGGATCAAATGGTAGATCGATGTCTAACTCTTGAGGTTGATTTTAGTTGAACCTGCACTGCAGCCTAAATAACACCAAGGGGGCAGCCCACTCACACTCTGGGGATGAAAGTAGCAGAGAGGTTTGCTCCCCACAAAGCAGGGTCTGGGCTCCAGGCCAGCAAAAGCAACCAGTGTCCACTACAGGTGCTTTCAGGTTTTCTGTGGTGAGCACGTGCACAGTTATAATCAGAAACGTATTAAAGCTAACATCAGAAAAGACGAAACACTTGAAAGAGAACAAACCTGCTCCTATGAAGAAACAGTGAACATATCCAATGCCCTGAAAGGCATGGAAACATCCCAGGTGTGCCAAACTCTGGAATGATTAAAATTCACTTCATTAGCCACATGAGAAGTGCCATGGCGAGGTCAGGGTTACTCTAGACTAGTCTTTTGGGATCCACTTCTTTTACTTCCTGGTTGCTTAGTCCTGACTAACTTGTTCACTTTCTTTTTATCTTCTGTTTCTTCTATATATAATACTGCCCACCTCACAGGCTTAAGAAGATTCAACAAAAATACGTGTGCAGAGATGAACAGAAAGTTCATCAAGTTTAAGGAATGCTATTATAATTATTTAATAATTATAAAAATAATTATGGAAGTTTTTAGAAATACATAATATTTAAATGGCCAGTGTGCGTTGTACTGAGGAAAAGTCAATACATCTTTTTCCAGTTTTCCTCAGCCTTGGCTAATTTTTATATATACACACAAACACACACACGTGCACACACACACCCTACTCATTTCACAAGACATAACTGTGAAGAAAAGGAGATAATAAGCAAGATTGCAGGGAAAGTATGTCCTCTCTGCAAACAGATTGCTCAGAAAGTAAGAAAAACATCTTTTTAACACTTTGGTCACTATAATCTTAGCTAATATTTATATATAGTGCTTCTCATGTGTCTGTACTTACTGTTCTCAGTATTTTTGTTCGTTTTGTGTTTCTCAGGGTATTTTTAATTTTTAAAAATTATTTTTAGAATTTATTAGGATGTATTGATTATATGGGGCAGGGGTGGGATTCGTAGTGACAATTCCGATTAGACTTACACTGTACATTAGTTACATTGCACCCATTTTCTCTCCCCCTCAGCCCCCTCCTCACCCCACTTAAAGCAATTACAAGAGGTTTTTTAGTTCTGTTTCATATAAGTATATGAAGTCCATCAACCATACACTGTCACCTAATCTCCTTCACCCTCCCCTTCCCACCAACACCCCCCAGCCCCGCACACACTGCACCTGTTTTACAATCCTGACCTTCGATATTAATATCTAAGTTAACATTCAAAAGGGTCTTCTAAGTATTTTTAACCTGTAGTAACTCACTGCGTCTTCCACAATTCTGTAAGTGAGGTCCTGTGTTAGGCCCATTGCAAAGATGAAGAAATTGAAGCCCCAGAAGTAGTTTGTGTGAGATTCTTCAGCTAGGATTAGAGCTGGAGTTCACATGTGGGAGTCTGTAATCATCCTCTGAAGGTGAAACATGGCTTCTCGCCATTACTGTCAGCACCGTGACCGGATTTGCTTGATCCTGAAGTTCCCATTCTCTGTCACTTTTCTCTTGTGGCAGTCATCACGAGTAGTCAGACACATTGAGTACATCCAAGAAAGTTGATCTAAAGATGCCTCTTCTACAATGTCTAATGCTATGTTTCAAGTAAGGAAAGATTCATGGGGCCTTTACGGTGGGCAGTATTCAAAAACCATAGAGAACCTGCTCCCTGAGAAAGTAAAATCCTACTATGTGCAAACTGTGCTTCAGATGCCCCCAGTGATACTGGGGACTGCAGGCAAAAATGCGGTGGATCAATGAAACAAATCTGGTAGAAATGCAGGTACGAGTGTCTGCCAGTTTAAAGAGCTGAGGGCAAAAAGCAGGGAAGCATGTATCCACAGAGACCTATTGCTGGTTCTAACAGTTAGCAAGCACAGGACATCTCCAGCCAGCTCTACAAGATCCATTTAGACTCTCCCCTGTTACCACGATTAAGACAATAGCCAGTACCTGCTCACATCTGAAACAGTGACAGGGTCTCTGTTGGAAGAAATCATCCCCTTGATGGAATATAACTGAGCAAAAACCCCACTAATTTCTAACCTAAGGCATTCAGTATTGGAGAAGGATGTTTTCATTGATTCCAGGATGACAGATACTTTTTTCTTTCTGTCATAACATGCTACTAGTTATTCCAATTTTATGCCATCTGAAGATACACCCCTTTTTAATATACTTTTTTAGAGCAATTTTAGGTTTACAGAAAACTGCATAGAAAATACAGAGTTCTTATATTCCCTTGTCCCTCCTGCATACAGTTGGACAATTTTACATTGTCAACCTCTTACACTAGTGGGCACTCTCTTTTGACTTCCATCATTCCTTTCCCTTTCTCATGTCCTATTGTGACACTTAAATGGCATCCAGCTCTCTTGTGGCACTTACATAAGAGTCATACCACTTTACACGTGACCCTTGTTTATCTAAGTGTGGGGTCCGTTTTTTAGCAGTAAAGATCAGATTTTTGGGGAGTCTCATGCTGCTGTGTTTATTGTGCTTTCAGATCCTCTTGATCATCGCTTCTGTTATCGGGATCATTGTTTACAGGCTGTCAGTGTTCATTGTTTTTTCTGCAAAACTTCCTTCAAGCACCAATGGGACAGACCCAATACAGAAGTATCTGACGCCTCAGATGGCCACGTCCGTCACCGCCTCCATCATCAGCTTTATCATTATCATGATTCTGAACACCGTGTATGAGAGAGTGGCAATCATGATCACCGACTTCGGTAAGGTCCCACCCTAGCTGAGGCAATTTCTGAAACATTTGTAGGACCTGATAAAACTATACACTGTACTTTTTTGACACTAAAATTCCTGTAGTTTATCGTTTTGTAGAAATTTTTTGTTTGCATATATTTTCTCCAACCTGTAGAGGAAAGAAATTATCTACAGCTTTGTATTCATAAACAGGACAAAGCAAAGACAGTCATTATAATGTCCAAGCTGTGTGTAAACAGGATCAGTGCTGAATAATATTTTCAATTACATTAGCTGATGTGCTCCATCGCTGAAAGTAAATAGTCTCTTTATTGCAAATAAGTAGAATAGAGTCATGGTTCCAGTGGCAAATGCTCTCCTCTGTTGCAGAGAGGACGGGCAACTGCACAGCTATCTGTCTTCCCCATGCTTTTCATATTAATATAATTCTCATCAGTGCAGGCCTTTGTCATGAGTGTTTCTTCTCTCTGGCATGGGTCCCAGGCAGCTGCTCAATGGCCAGAGCTCAGGGCTTCCTGCAGCCCGCAACACATCTGGGTCATCCTCTGAATGGACTGCTCAGTGATCATCTAAAATTGATCAGCCTGATTCAGATTCCAAACTAGGAGGATGACCTGTCTTATGTTCCTCAAGTACCTCTAGCGAACTGTCCTTCCTTTGTTTGGTTGTTTTCTACAGCAGACCTACCTTACTGAAATTCAGGAAGACAAATGAATACCATTTAGCAGGCAGTACAAAAATAATTTTCTGTCTGTTTAGACCTAAGACACTTCTCACTCATTTGATAACACAGTATTTGTAAATTTTAAGGAGCAGTTGAAAAAATATATATGTATCGAGTATGTGTATTTACATATTTACCATCATATATACATATATATACTCACATATATTTTTTAGCCACATGGGATATTGTAGTCACGTGGGAAGAGAATGCTTATAACAACATGTAAACTTGGAATTAGTACAGTGGCTATATTAAGGAATTGAAAACAGCTTAAATGGAAACAGTGCGAATTATATTTTTTTCAACATGTTAACTCATGTGATGATGTATTTGATTAGGCTCTTAGAACTGTGGGCAGTTTTAAAATCTTACTTCTCTTTGTTTTAACTACAGAACTCCCAAGGACCCAGACTGATTATGAGAACAGCCTCACCATGAAGATGTTCTTGTTCCAGTTTGTCAACTACTACTCCTCCTGTTTCTACATCGCATTCTTTAAGGGCAAATTTGTAGGCTATCCCGGAGAGCCAGTGTATTGGCTGGGAAAGTACAGAAATGAAGAGGTGTGAAAATAGAATTGCATTATTCTCTTGATAGTTTCAGCTGCTTCATGTTTTTCTCTCAGTTGCCTAATGAATAGTGTCTTCATTTTTTAAGGCTAGACAGAATAAATACCAGAAAAATAAATGTAATGACTTATTCCAAGTTATACCCATCTAAATGAGATTTTCTTTTTTAACATTCTAGTGTGACCCAGGTGGCTGTCTCCTTGAACTGACAACCCAGCTGATAATAATCATGGGAGGAAAAGCAATCTGGAATAACATACAAGAAGTGTTACTTCCGTGAGTATCAAATGATGCAATCCTGGCTGTCAGGACAAGGGACAGGCTAGCCCACCCATTGTGACCTACACAGCCACATAGCTGCATGTCCACCTCTAGAATGGATTAGAATCTATTTTATTAAAGCTCTCTAGACAAGAGAGTCCAACTAACAGTTTAAATATGCCCAGTGTTCAATAATTATATGAAACCTTTATATTTAATGGAAATTCCCACCTACTATATAGCTTATGCCTCTTAAATTGTCATTGGTGACTAACTAATTACAAGACTTTGTGAGAGTGCCCTTGTTAGAGCTGTGAATTAAGTCTTTCCACAGGTTCTCACAGCATCTTCCACCCTTCCCTTTATATTATGCATTTGGAAGTCATTAGTAGTGATTTGTTGAATTGTCAGTATGTGCCAGTGACTGTATTAAGAGATATACATGGTTTAATCTTCTAAATCACTCTGTCTTTTATTTCATATTTGCAAGTAAAGATCTGTGACTTAAACAGGTTAGATGATTCACCCAAGGTCACACAGGCAGTAAGAGAACACTATGGGATTCAACACCCATGATTCAAAACTCATGTGCTTTCAAAAGTAGAAATTTTCTTGTGATCCCTAAGGCACAGACATACATAGCATTCTAAGACATAATTGTCTAAACAACACCCCAAATGTTTTAACTTTTATTGTTGTTTCCCTAAAACATGAGAGCAATAGAATACAGTTGTATTTCAGGCATTAGTGAAAGACCCATTATCCTTTTAAATTTTCACCTAAGCCACATCTTGTATCAAAGTGGAAAGTCAGGGCCATCTACAATTTCCACAAATTTCAGGAAGTCTATTTTATTAGTTTTCCATTGCTGCTGTAACAAATAACCACAAAATTAATGAGTTAAAACAAGATAAATTTAGCATTTTAAGGCCCTGGAAGTCAGAGGTCTGACTCAGGCAGTCTCACTGGGCTCAAATCAAGGTGTTGGCAGGGCAGTATTCCTTTGTGGCATCTTCAGGGTGAATCTTTGACTTTTCTAGCTTCTACAGGCCACCCACAACCCTTGGCTTGTAACATCTTCTCTCCATCTCAGTGCCAGCAGTGTTTCATGTCTCTGAGTCTACATATCTCTCCCTCTCTCTTCTCTGCTTCCTTCCTTCTCCCCTCCCCTTCTTCCTCTCATTCCTTTCCCTCCTTCCCACCTGGATCAACTATCTTAAAGTCAGTTGATTAGCAACCTTAATTCCCCTTTGCCATGTAACCTAACACATTTCATATGTTCTAGAGATTAGGAGGGGAACATCTTTGAGGGACCATTGTTCTGCCTGTGTACTTATTTTGTCAATGTAATTTCTAACTCTTGAGTTTTGGCTTTCATGAAACTTTAGCTTTTGTTTTACCCCTTCACCCCAATATCTGTACCCTTCCCTATTCCTTGCCTATGCAGAGTGGCCCCTCTCCTTAATGTTCTCCAAAATGACTCAAGCAAGCTTGCTTTACTGATACTCAGGGCCTAGAAGCAGAAACTCACAACCTACATTTTGAAATAAAATTCCTCTCTCTTAAGAAACTCCTTTATTCCACTATGCAACTGGGATGGCTTTGTTCAAAAACTCATCATCCTTTGTAGGTGACACCTCCTGCCATTCTGCCCTGTCTTTCTCCATCACATACAACTTCCCTCTCTTTCTTTCTCGAGACTCTTTCCCCAAACCTTTCTTCTTTCTCTCTTACATTGCCAGACTTCTGTTCTTTCTTCTTGTGGAGTGTTAGCTGACTGGATTTCAGTACTTCCTTCCAGGATTCATCCTCCAATCAAGGTTCTTCTTTGTTTACAAAGATACCCTTCTTCCCTAGCCTCCAGGAAAGGATTTTTGCTTTAGCTATGAAATTAATTTTTATAATCCTATTGTGCAGAAAACAACCCTTACTTTCATCAAGTTCATATTCAGATTTTTCCAGATGAGTAAAAATAGGTTATGCACAAATAATGGTAGATTTGTTTATACATGAAAAAAAATATATAAAACAGAAAAGTCAATTCATTCTTAGATTACTAAACAAGTGTTTTCTGAACCAAGTCGATTAATTATGTGACACTGAGTTTTGATCACTAATTGGTTTGCAGTGAGCTATTTTCTGTTTTAAAAAATTAAAAAAGAGGGCATAAAAGGTAAAGTATTGTTTCCATGACCTGTTCATATTTTTGCTTCAAGTAAGCCTGTTGTAAAAAACTACAGCAACCTGAATTTGGCCTTTAGATATTTCTACTCCTGGTCTAAAATATTTATGAAGTATGTTCTAAGTTATTTTCTTTAGTTTGAAAACTGGGATTGCTAGGCATGAGCCAAATAAGAGTGACTTGGCTGTTGCTTCTTTATGTAGAGGCCAGCTTCCAATTTCTATTTCACACAAAGTCCTATGCAATGATGTATCAGTTATCCTTGCTACCCAAAACTACACATATCCCAAAAATAAATAGAAAGGCCTTATAAGTCAATAGTTATTTTTATATCAAGTTAATATGTCAGAAGGAATATATGTGAAATGTACTTGACCAGAACCCTACCTTCTCCATCTTCTGCCCACCTTTGCATCCACCACCACCTCCCCACCCCAACCAGGACTCTTAGAACAAAGGAAGTGGCATGTCTAGGGTGTTTCCCATATCTGGACTAGGCTCTGGCATAGGACAGGCACTAAGCATGAACCATGCAGTGAATGAGTTCCTTAATGTGCCTAAATACAAAGCATCAGTAAATAACAGAGTGGTTTGTGGGACCCAGAGAACAAGCTCAGAGTCCTTTGGTTAGTATTTTGATATTTGAGGCATTCCTGGGAATTTGTTTTATTCTATACTTGACAGGCTGTTATGTTAAGAAAAATCGCTCTGGAAAAGTTCATATAATGTGTTAAGGAAAATAATTAAACACCCAAAAGGACTATAGTTTTTTTCCTTTACATATTTTCTGTATTTTCCATAGTGAGTATGCACTTACATAGTAAGAGAAGTGAACAGTCTTAGGGGAAAGTACCCCCTCCAAAATATGATCTGGGGCTGGAGAAGTGGCTCAAGTGCTAGAGCACCTGCCTAGCAAGCGTGAGGCCCTGAGTTCAAACCCCAGTCCTGCCAAAAAAAAAGCAAAATATGATCTGGATGGATGATGAGTCAGCAAAGGACACTCAGAGTCACTGTCCAAAAACAATAAACATGGTCATGAAATATATTCAATGAGTGAGGAATGCTTGTATTTCAAAATTAGTAAGTGGGAGTGCTAAAGAATGTTCTAAACACAAACAGTAACTAGCTCTAGTATGATAAAGGCCAAGAGAAAAAAGAGGTGTAAAATATATCACACCGTACATAATAAGTACTTAGAAAGGGCAACTTATTATAATGTGTTTCATTAAAATGCATGGTAAATTTGTAGGGAAATTGTTTTGTAACCTCTGCTTTTAGCCTTAGCCAGGGACAAAAAGTATCTGGTGTGTTTTTTTTAAGTTTTGTAGGTGATTCTTATGTGTGCTCAAGATGAAGATCCTGTCCCAGAATTATAGCCCTGTACAAAACCCAAAAGACTCAGGGCAACAATGAGTTAATTTCTACTATAAATAAGTGGTTAAACTCTAGAAAACTGAAAGAGGCTCAGAGTCTTAAGCTCATAAAAGAAAGCTAGTCAAAAAAAAAAAAGCTAGTTAGAAGGACTTGTAATACAATCTGAGGAGACAGAATACAGGAGAAGGAAGCACCAGATGCATTAAGTAATGCATCAGGACAGATGTTTCACCCAAGATTCAAATTATGATAGACTTTGGGGCCAGACAGAAAAATACCGCTTTTCTAGAGCATGGACAGGATTCAGAGGAGGTTCAAACTGGAAGGTGGGAGTCAGAACAAAAAATAAGCCAATAGAAACAGAACCAAATAATCTCAAGGTCCCTGGTGCCACCTGTGTTACAAAGCCCCTGGAATGCCACAAAACTACAGATTCTGAGGCCTTCCTCAGCTATGAGTTAAGGTACAGAATGCTGCACTATTAACAAGCATTCTATACCTTCCTTGTAAGTAATGAAGTATGAGCCAGTGTCCAGGTGGCCTGATATCCCCCACCAAAATTTTAAGTAATATAGGCCCTATTTTGAGTTAGCCTCAGCCAGAGTAGCCTGTGTTGGTTAGCAGAAAATCCATTACAGGGGTAGGATGTGTTAGGCAAGGCTAGATGCCTTGCCTGTTTTGAATCCATTTAATCCTGACAGCAGCTCTGGGCAATGTGTTTTATCACCTATTTTCTTTTCACTTCACCAAAGAGTAAACATTGGAGTATGGATTCCGATTCAGGCATGTTGGAGTCCAAATCCCCTTCATACTGGAAAAGACCCAGCCTCCTGCCATCTCCCTGATGCCATCGAAGAGAAAGAAATAGGGGAAAATTGGGAAGTCAGGGCATGTTCTTTGGAGGAACACATTCCCAGAGGAAGGCCTGCATAACGGTCAAGAATGTTAGGACTGAGATGAGCAGCAGTGGGAAGCCCAGCGCAGCTGAGCCATCCTAAGCCCTTTTGCTGGCTGGCTGTGCCTGTGAGCAGTGTGTGCACACAAGAAAGGGGATGATGGTTTGTGTGGTTTTCTTGCATCAGTTGTCTTCATAGTCCCACAATGCTTCTCCTATTGTCAGAGATTGAAACTCACATAAACATGTTGTCTAACAGCCAAAGCTTAGCCAGATGTTATATGTGTACTTTAAGTTACTTGTTTTTGTGCCTCTTCTGATAAACACCACAAGTAAGCCACAGCCAGCTGTTGCTTAAGGAGACAACGGTCTTTACACTACAGGTGCACACCTCATTTTACTACAAACTCAGATTTCTTTGCAGAGCAAATTGCCATAAAAATGGGGAAGCATTTATCTGGCCACAAAAAGCATGACATTTCAAGAAGAGAAAACAGACAGCTGTATGATAGCAATATCCAGTTGTGGGCAGAGCTATCTGCCCTGTGGCTTCAATGATATGTTTCACTTCTATGGTCTTGAAATTGTTCAGCTTAATATAGAGGGTGAGAACTATTTTATCTAATGTCAAATTATGTCATTTTTCTGTGTAGTACCCTCCTATGGCTCCTTACTCCCCTCAGAGTTAAAAACACCCAGATCCTTGCAGTGATCCCTTAGATCCCTCCCTCCAAACCACTAGACGTATTGCCCACTAGCCTTGGACCGCACAGGCCTCCATGCTGTCTGTTAACAGTAGATGGTCTGCTCCTGTTTCTGGGTCCCCGTTGTCACTGTTCCCTCTGCCTGGGATCTCTCACCTCTGCTGCTCAGTCCTTTGCCTCCTTCATCTCCTCCAGATGATTTGTGTATAGGTCCCCCTACACACAAACAGCACTCACCCTGTTTTTATTTTTCTCCACAGCACTTATCACAAGCTCACATACTGCGGTCTTCATTTTTATTTTCACTCATGATTTTCATACTGGAAAAGACCATTTTGAATGATAGAGAGGAAATTTAAAAAAAAAACTAGAGTTAATCAAATGAAGGAAAATATCTTCTAAACATTAAAACTGCCCACATGAGAAAAGTAGGAGAAAAAATGGTGATAACTTGCCACGTTGATAAATCTAGATAGGTAGTCCTACTTTTCAAAATATTTGGGAGTAGGGAAGAAGAAATACAAAGAAATTTAAGGGGCAAGAAGGAAGTTAATTTCTTGGGAAGATAGCATGTTCAGATTTGGGATAGCAGGAAATGGTTTTATGACATTGGTCTGATAATATTCATCCTAACTTATAATTTGATCTTTCTGGCAGCTGGATCATGAATCTAATTGGACGGTACCAAAGAGTTTCGGGATCCGAGAATACAACCCCACGATGGGAACAGGATTACCATTTGCAACCTATGGGCAAACTGGGATTGTTTTATGAGTATCTTGAGATGAGTAAGTTGTTACTGATATTATAAGTGATATAAAATATGTTAGAGCATGTTTTTGAGCCCAAAAGCAGCTGTTACTGAGCCAAATAATTATTTAGCTAGCATATTGACATGAAGAGGAGTACATTTTTCTCCACTAGATAAAATTATACAGTGAGGCTTTCAAATAAGGTGGCCGTGTGTGTGTCTTTGTCGATATTTATGTTATTTGAAACTAAAGATTTATTAACATACAATGAAATGGAATATTCATTGATGTACTCCCTCACCATTAATTCTCAAAGTATCTGACCATGTTGTCTGAGAATGACCTCACCATGAGACATGCATGATTCAGGTTGGGCTGGAGTCCACACAGGCACAGCTGTTGGCTCATATACTTCTGAACCAAGTCATTTAAGAAAACCTGGAAGAGCATGCTGCTTGTGTCAGAAAGGGTCCCACAGCCTCCCTTTCACACCTAGCTTTTGCCTTGGATACACACATGTTTCTTCTGACCAAGATTTCTACCTGGTTCCTTGAGCAGCCTCAGAACCATTCCTGTCTGGAATTAAGATTTAGCACAGATCTTCTCCTTCCTGAATGTCTTGTCCACATGTGTATTATTTGCTTGTGCTCCTTTTCTCCTGTTACACTTGCTTTCAAGTTCTCAGTTGTCATTAAATGAATACATCTCAAAATGGATTCCCATAGGAAACACCATCTTCTCTATTATGCATGACACACTTATATCTAAGAGATGGCTAACAATTTATGTGTCTTGTATGGTGCATTTCAGCTAACTGTTGCATTCAATTAGTTTTTTTTAAGCTTAGGAGAGTAAAAAAACAGGCACAAAATTTGTTTGACAGGCCTTGTATTTATGCACAGGGGTTTGTGCGTTTGCGCGTTTGCAAGGATATCCCTTCGTGGTTCCTATTTATAAGTCTGCAGATAGAGAGTGGGTTTTTATTAAATCATATTCTGTGTATAAAATAATTGCTTTCAAAAGCATGCATTATACATGGAAACACATCTGCTTCCTTCTGTGAGTAAAAGGTTCATTTTGTGGTTTCTTTAGTCACAATACTTTGTAGCAACCTGGGGTCTAATTTGAATTTCATTTTTGCTTTTCTTATGTTTTGTGATTGGGTTTTATTAAAGGTGTAGCTGCAGTACACACTGTAGAAGCTGTACTTATTTATTCTGTTTATTTTCAAAAGGACTGTTAAGACAATTACCTGTTATTTCAAAATGAATCATAATTGTAAATATTTCTTAGTGGAGCCATAATAATGTTAATAATAACATCTTGGCACAGAATATAATTTGTTATTTTAGCCTCCCAAAAAGAAAAAAAAAAGCTCCCCAGAACAAAAGAGTTTTCTGTTCTCGTTTAGTCAAATGACGAATGATGATGATGAGAGAAGCTGGTAAAACTTTGAGTTTCATGAGCTTAGTAAAATGGTTGTGAGCTAAAAAATTTGGCCTCATCTTACCCTACAAGAAAAGATAGAATAAAAGCTGTTACAGGCAGATTTGGAGGTTTGTTAAATTGTTTTCCAGTTATCCAAATAATACCTAATGACTTAGAACACTTAATCAGTTTCTGAGAGTAGGCAGTCTGCTCATGTGTTTTCAAGAGTAGAGAGAAATCTATGTTATACTTTGTCCTTTTAGGCTGTGGAGGATAGAATTTCAAGTGCCTTTTGAATTATTTTTGTTCCTCTAAAAATAAATATTGAGTGCCTTTGGAAATGGTCTCACCCCACACCTTCCCCTTCACCTCATTCTCCCCCTACTCTAATGATACCAACTGTATTTGTCTAATTATGCTGCTGCTTAAGCGAAACATCTTCCCCTAGACAACCCCGGAGCCCGCCAGCCTTGCTTGGGCCTTGCACCAGCCACCAGCCTTTTTCCCTTTTCTGACCAGATCCTGTTGAAAATCAGCACAGCGCCTCAACTTCCCATGCTGTTTTGCTGCTTCTTTGATCTAGGCCTTCACCACACTTTCTACCATAATCATATGCATGCTTCTCTCCCTGCTGGAGCTAGCCTGATGGAAGCAGCTACAAATGCTCTGCATCTTTCAGTTCTCATCTGGATCACCAGTGCCTGGAAGCCAGTACTCAATATCTTTAAGAGACTTTGGAGAATCTATACAACTGCTAGTTGATCTTACATTTACATTGCCCAACCTAATCCTTACTGAGTGCTGTGAGATTTGGGGTGTTAACCAAAGTTGCTGCCCAGAATGTTGGGTCCTGACACTGAGAACTTATGACACAGAGCATAAGAGAAATATAGTCTACCAGTACTAAAATCTGGAAGCTATAGTTACCATGTTGTACTTAGGGTAATGCACAGCACTGACACAGGACTCTTGGGAACTTGGTGACACCTTCCCAGTAGACAGGTGCCACACATGAAGTACACTAAAGTGATAAAGTAAGCCCCCCCATTTGTCCCTGATATTGCCTCTTCCACCCTTGCCTTGTTAACTTGATCTGTCTCCAAGTTAGTTTTTCAAAATCATTAAAACAGTGACATTTTATATATTATATTCTCCACATGAATCACTGTGGTGAACATCAATATCTTGCACCCACAGCCCTTCTTCTCCCCCTCCTTATGCCTTATTCACCAGAGCCTCTCCTATACTTTCCAGGATTGCCTTCCTGTAGTCTCTCCTCTCTGCTCTGGTCCTGCCTACCACCTACACTGAACTCTCCTAGCCTTCAAAGGAAGAACTTTCCAAAATGGCAACTGAGAAGGATTCGCAGGCCTTCTATTTATTCATTCATTCATTCGATAAATATTTATTGACCACTTCTTTGTGCTAAACACTGTATCGTTTGCTGGAGATGCCAAGATAAACCTGGTCTCTGCCCTCATGGAGTTCAGCCCTCAGTGGATTACTTGTGCCAATCAGACTTCCTCTAGTAGGTGGTATTTGAACTAGAGTTTGATGGGTGAGTAGAACTTAGTAATGGTGAAGGGAATGGGCATTTCATACAGAGAGGTGAACACATTTTAAAGTAAAAGGTGCAGAAGAGTGCAGCCACTTCAAAGAATGTCAAGTAGACAAAATATGGCTGGAACAAAGGACGTGTATGTGTGAATATCAGATAAGCAAGGATTATATCATGATGGTCCCTATGTGCATTGACAGAGATGCTGGGCTTTACTCTTAAATAGGGATCTGTTGGAATGTTGGTAAACTAGAGAATTGCATAGTGTTTATGTTGAAGAAGATCAGATTACTCTGGCAGCAGAGTGAAAGATACTTTGGATGGGATCCATATTTAGTGGGAGGAAGATAATTTAGAAGACTGCTGCAGATAAGCCAGAAAAGAGATAAGAGCCTAAATAGAAGCTGTGGGCATAGGAATAGATAGGTTTGATAAGTGTTAAACAGGTGGCTCTCATATGACAGACGAAGAATAGAATTGTTAATACACTTTCCAGAAGACTGAGTATGCAGAGTAGAAATAGGGAGAGGAAGTGGTGTGGAGGATCTGATTCAATGTTTGGATGTCTTGAGTGTAAGGTCTCTGTAGGATATCAGAAAGGCAGTGATTTAGAAATTTGCATGCACCAGGCAGGAGGTCAGAGGAGCTACTGGCAAGGCCATGTGAGTGGATTAGGCATGCCTAGCCAGAGTTTTAAGAGACTGGGGAAAGGGACATTTAAAGGGAGAAAATGGGTACACAAAGAGAAAGGAGAGGAGAAAAGTCAGTGGAGCAAGTCCAGCAGCATTTGTCAACACAGAGAAGGCCTGGAAGGTAGTAACATTGCTCAAGTGAGATTGCAGTGCGACAAAAAGGAACATAGTGAAAAATACAGAGGGGAAAAGCTAAAACCCCTACTTAATTGGTAGAACTGTAGGGAAAATACTATAACTAGGTGATGGATGGCTTGGGGACATTTTTGTTTTTAACATATAAATTGAGTTTAAAATTTTTTAAGTGAAACAAAAATCCAGTGGAGCAGGGTAACTGTTCCTTGGAAAGGGTAATATTTGACCGTGTCAAAGCTGGTTAGTGATGAAATAAATGGGAGCAAAAATGTGGATCACCAGCAAAAGTAGCAAGAGTAGGTACAACACTGTGGTGAGCCCCCACAGGACAGAGGGCATCAGGAGGGAAATGAGTGGTGGAGAAATGATCTAGGAGACATTGCCTTGGCGAGACCTGACTGTAAAGTGAAAAGAAAATATTAGCAATCAGCGTCATGGAACAGTTTCAGGCAAGGGTTTTTTGCCTTGCTGAAATAACCAGGGTTAGTGTTGTTTGTTTCAAAAGATGCTTATAATGTTCTTCTTACTTGAATATCAGAACAGATTACACCACATTATCTTTTTCTGGTGTTTTAATATAAAATTTTTAACCTATCTGGAATTTATTCTTTGGTCAAAAGTGATGTTGGCTTCATCCCAATTATTTTACTCATTTACCTAGTTATCCCAATACTTGAACCCACTTGTTTTAGTCTACTAAAATCCCATGAATATTTGTATGTCTTCTTAAAAACCATTCTGCCTGCCTAGCAAGCATGAGGCCCTGAGTTCAAACCTCAGTGCCCCCCCAAAAAAAAACTCTGCCTCACTTATACTATCTATTCATACACTGTTTCAGTTACTGTCACATACTAGGACATACATACTAATGTCTCCGAGAGTTGGTCTCCTTTTATTAGGCTTTTTCAGAATGTCTTGTGTGATTGTCAGTGCAAACATCCCTCATCATTTTACCTGTTTACATCTCTTTAACTTTAGCACTACCTTTTAAGTGGTTGAAAAATCCATTTGGGATTATTAAATGAATTTTTATTAGAATTTTAAATTATTATGTGAAGAAAAATTCAATATGGTCTCCAAATTTTAGTCTTCCCAGTCATCCTACTATTCATCATTTTTCTTCAATTATCATAATAGCATTACCATTTCTCATTAGTTTATTCCTAAATAGTCTGTGCTTTTGTTGTCATTATAAATGGTATCTTTTCTCTTTTGGATTTTTAACTGAGTTTATTAATATAAATCCTGATTTCTGGCTTCTCTTAAACATTCACCATCTCGCTGTATTGTGTCCTCACTTCATCATGGCAACTGAGCTGTCAACTTTCAGGAGGTCACACACTTGCCAGTTTACTACAGATGAGCTGACTCACTCCACAGACTCTTACTTGTAAGGCCCCAAGTATGATGAGTTTATTGAGGGTTATGGGAATCACAGACACAGGCACTGACGTCAGTAACTGTTGCTCCTGCTGCTGACATTACCAGCTCTGGTCCTTGTGACTTACCAGATCCTCCCAATCCTGTCTGCTTTTCCGCAACATTCCTTCAGCCTTGCAACCCAGAAGCCAATGCCATCTCCTACCTAACCACACACACCACAGCCTTGCCCTTCTGGCTAGAGTGGTCCCTGCTCCTTTTCTGAGAAAAGCCCTAAAAGGGTCTAGGCTCTAAGTTTTCCTGTCTTCCTGTCTTAGGTACTTTCCAGTGCAGGTTTCTTCTATAGTTCTGACAGAAGAGAAGGGCCTAAAACCAAAGGCTTCTTTGCTAATTCTTTGCCCTTTCTGTTCATGGTATAGCTTACCCTCAAATCTATGCTGTATCATTTAAAGTAAATCCATGTCATTTTCAGATAAGGAAAAAAGAACTACTAGTACCTTGACTTACTGTAGCCCGTGGATTGTAACAACTCCATGATAAAGATGTCTGAAGAAGGATGTGACTTAGGAAGATACTTTGTTATCTCATACACTTAGAATGTCTCGAGTTTACTACTAGCAAGTAATAGTAGTTAAGGATTTTTCAATATCTTGTTTCTATAAAGTAAATATATGTAGAAGAAACAGACTTTAATTAGACATCTTTCCAAAGAGTCCATATTTATTTTGTTTTAGTTATTTGGCTGTTGTGCATTAAGTTGTTATTGACCATGTATGTGTTTTTTTCTTTGAGATCAAGTTCTTTGCCTACCTTTCTCTTGATTTACAAGAGAAAAGAAAAATGTGTTGTCCCTCCATCCATCCACCACTCCATGATGTGTGTTCATTCCATTGACAGTTATTCAGTTTGGGTTCGTCACCTTATTTGTGGCCTCTTTTCCACTGGCTCCTCTGTTGGCTCTGGTGAACAATATATTGGAAATAAGAGTGGACGCATGGAAATTGACTACACAGTATAGACGCATGGTGCCAGAAAAAGCCCAAGACATCGGCGCGTGGCAACCCATCATGCAAGGAATAGCATTCCTGGCCGTGGTGACCAATGTGAGTGGACGTAGGCATCACAGGGGTAAAGACCATAACAAGACCAGAATGCCTTAGGATGCTACCTAAGGCGTATGGTTACATGCTATCTATTGTCTTTTTAAAGTACATTTTGTTTATAATTATTCTTTACTTACCAATTGTTGCTTCTTTGCTAAGAAATATAGTAGTAATAGGTACTAACACTTTTAGTCCTCATATAACTATAAAAGGAGTTGCCAAAAAGTGCTTTTATAATGTAAATAGAAATGTTCATTTAGAGTTTGAGAACCTTAACATAAGACCATCTCACCACATTTTATTATATATTCCAAAATATCAACTTAAAATGTTAACTTTGATAAAGTAGAAATACTGTGTGTTTTCCTAACCTTCCTTGTCTCCAGGGCAGCAGTTCTGAAAGGTATGTTCAGGGTGTAGCTGAAGCAGCTTTATCCCTTGCATGTATCCTAGCAGTAAGAGGACATGATTCAGCTGTTTACAGTCTGTACAGACTGGTCCACAGTCAATAAATACATTTTTCCCCCCACAGGCCAACACGGAACTCAGGCATAGCAGTTTTCATGTCAGCCCATCAGTGACCTCCTTCCCTAGAAATGTCCTTAGTATAAAGTGACATTTACAGCCATAGTTCACTTTCCAGTCTCACTCCCAAGTCTGCTTCCCAAACAATGATTTCCCAGTTTAATTTCTTATACCACACTTGCCAGTCCTCTGGCTTTTCCCATGAACCCCTGCGGAAACAGAACAGACCTCATCAGGACTATAGAGGAGGGAAGCTCTGTGGAATCAGGACTGAAGTGTGAGCTGCATGATCTTGAGCCGGGCCTTAGCACTTCATTTGTAAAATAATTCCCAGCACAGAGTGGTTAGGGAATTCCAGAGCTACTCCATGGAATGCATGAAGTCTGGGCCTTATTCAGTGTAGCTGATGTGATTAAGAATTTCAAAATCAGTCACTATGTAGACTGTGGTTATAGTTATATACACTAAAACACATTATCTGGAACCCAGATGTCACCACCACTGCCCCCACCCATAAATTCTCAGTTTATCTGAATCATGTGCTATCCCTACCTTTTGGAAAAAGTTGGAAATCACACACAAAACCAACTGATGAGCTATGTCAAGTTCCTTTCTCCCAAATAGCCTGTATCTTTAACATACTCTGTGCTTTGAAATGAAGAGTGATGTTCAGAGAGGTGACAACAAGGCCTTTCAGATTTCACAGTCATAAAAGAATGAATGTCATGTTCAGTGTGCTAAAAGCAGGGCAGGAACATGGACTTACGTGCGTTAAGACAAATCTCAGCAACAAGGTTTGAAACTAAAAGGGTTTTGTTTGACCTTCGGCAACCAGAAAATTCAATTGACTCAAACTCCTGATTCCTCAGGCATTCAGTTTGATTGTATTAGGCACCTTTTCCTAGTTTCTGTGCCATGGCTCCACTCCATTAGCACAGATGGAGGACTGGCTCTGTGTCCAAAGCTGCTCTGCATGTGTGTGTTCAGACACACACCCTGGTTAATTTCTTGTTCAATATTTCTTATAACTTATCCTAGGAAAATTGGTTACTGGATTTGTGTCATTGATTACACTATAGACATCCTTTTTCCATATTGTTAGGATTTGTTACACTTCCAAGATGGCAGTGCACATAGATATGTTCATAAATCTGTAGGGAAGCATTAAATGTGCATCTGTTAGCCCCCCACATATAGGTGTGTATGTCCACAAGAAGAGAATAGCCTCCTGGGCTGAGAGTGGGCATCAAGCAGGAGTTGGATATAAAATCATTTTAAAGTTACTGCTTCAACAAATAAGCTGCCTCGACATTGTCATATCATGCCAGAGCATCTGCTATTGAAGACCAATTTTAATTTATTTTGATATAAATGGAAAATTGTGTGCAGAACAGCATGGGAAATGAAACACACCACATTTATTTGTACTCATGAGCATGTCTCAAATCAGCTCAATTCTGGAGGAAAAGATGTCTTGTCAGAAGACAATAGAATTATCTTCCTTGTCGGAATTTTTGTAGCTTTCTGAAGTGCATCTGCAGGTGATTCTATAAAAAAAGTTAAGTTAAATGATAACAAGAAAATTTAATCTATTGAAATCTGGAGAAAAGTACAGTATTCTTGCCTTACCTCACTATACTAACAGGCACATGCATAGATTTTTCAATTGGAGGAAATGACAAGCTGGTTCTAGTAGGGGGGTAGGAAGATTTTACAATAGAAAAGCCCCTAAATTGTTTCCTTGCTTTGCCTGAGATCTTGCTTGTTGGTTTGTGGTCTCACTGTGCCTACACCGTTATGTTCAGATGAATACTATTAAAAATCCTGTTGTGCCAAAAACATCTGTTCTTCTGCTTCAGTTAATAATTGAATCATTGAGTTTTGTTTATTCATATAAAATTGGGCTTAAAGTATATTCTCCCCTTTGTCCTTCCTTCAAAACAGTTTTGTACATTAGAGAGTTTAAGAATCTTAGAGAAAATTCATGTAATTTATAATAGCTTTCCATCCTAATAGATATGTCATATGTCTGCCTGACATAGTCACAGTTTCATGATTGACCCATATTTTATAATAGGAACATACTAAACTTTACTCTGTAATTATGACTTTCATAACTATCTGTTTAATCTCTTGGAGACTTAAACACTAGATCTGACATCATTGCTTGACTACATGAATGGAACAACCCCAACCAATATTATTTATTATATTTTATTAAAATTCTTGCTCTCTAATGAAGAGTTCAAAATAAATCAGGCCATGAGTTAACTTTTCTAAACAAGTCAGTGTGCTTTTGAGGGGTGAATTTGAAACCTGTAATTTAGACCAAGGAAAATATACTTTATTCATTTTATATTCTTTTTTATAAGAAGAAAAGAAAAAGTTTCATATCAATGATTCTACAAAGTAATTATGTATAGCCAAATTATTTTCATAACATTGACCTTAGTATTATATATCTACAGGTGTTCTAAATCATGAAAGAAAACTAAAATTGTATCAAGTAGTGCTCTAAGATTGACTGAATATTCCTGGTCTACAAGACAATATTTTAAAAGCATAATAAGCAACTAACAGGCCTTTGCATTTGAACCATAGAGCTTCCCCTAGAATTAAAGGCTAAAAAATTAATATTCTACTCTAAAATTGGTACCCAACTATTTTAAAACATTCACTATCTATATATATTGCACACTTAGAGTCTTTTTTAATCAACTTGATGAAAACAGTAATTCTGACATATTAAACACAGCTATAAAAAATTTAAAACTTGCTTTATTGTTTTCCTCCCAACATAGGCCATGATCATTGCTTTCACATCAGACATGATCCCTCGCCTGGTATATTACTGGTCCTTCTCCATCCCTCCCTATGGGGACCATACTTACTACACCATGGAGGGATACATCAATAACACTCTCTCCGTCTTCAATGTCATGGACTTCAAAGACAAAAGCAAGGACAATCCATACACTGGGCTTGGCAACTATACCACTTGCAGGCAAGTTCTTCTTTAGCTGTTTAAAACTGCACTTACTCTTGGAAACGGCTTTTCTTGTGATATAATTCCCTTTGGTGTCACTTAAATTACTAGAGACCTTTCTTTCCCATAGTTTTTTCAATAAAGCTAAAATTTAAAGATAGTAAGGTTAATAAAGACTTTCAAACTAAGCCATAAAAGTAAGATTGAAAGATTAGGTTTCAAATGGTTATAGGGAGACTATCTAGGAGAAAAGTCTTATGACATCTTAGAAGTGGAGAAACTCCCAAGATTTGATATGTTATTCAAGATAATGACATACTAGCATTCTTGTTTAACAAATACATAGAAAAATGTAAATACCCAATAATATCCCCTAAAAGAATTCCAACGGTCTGTGCATTGGCTTTATCAACTGTGGACAGTACATACCAACTACATTACCAGTTGATAGGCTGTTGGCCATATAGATCACAGAACTTTTTCTTACTCATGAAGCCTTTAAATTTCATTTAGTCCAATTCTTGAACCCCTCTACTGATTCAAATTTTCAATAACACAACAAGAAACCAGTTATACATGCAGACCCCCTTTCAGATCCTGTACTGAATCTGTTTACTCTTACTTTACATACCTCTAATCAGTAGTCAGACTCCTCCAGGTCCAATGAGATTATAGGCAGGAAATTAGAGATGGGCTACCCAGAAGACACACTACTAACAGTAACACATGACACCAGGGAATTAGGTGAAGAAATTATAACCAGCAGGGAGTGTCTCAGGGAGGAGTTAATCCTGATGATTCCATTATACAAATAAATTTACAAACGTGATCCCCTGAACAGACTAAAATGTTTGATACTCTTCAGCAAAGGATAAAGCCTTAGAATCCATCATTATCATTTTCTGATTACATGCCTAATGAGTTATTACTAGAGTACTTTTCTCAAGATTTTGTTGCTGAATTAAGCTTTAGGAGAAAATTAAGGTACTGCATCAAACATGACTCCTTTTTAAAAATAGGGGCCTTGTTTCAGTGTCTTAGGACTTGTGTCCTTATGTGCCTCCACTTGGTTTCTTAAAAATTACTTTTTGGGGTATATTGTACAAAGTGATATTTCCATACATGTGTGTAACATACTTTGATCCTAGTTACCCCTCTACTACTTGTTATTATCCCCTGGCCCCCTTTTCTTTCTTGCACAAAATTTCAATGAGTTTAATTACGACCTTTTAATACATGCGTTGTACTTCAGTCATATTCCCCACACCCCTTTTGTCTCCCTTTTCTGTTCTTTTTTTTTTTTTTTTTAGATCTAGATTCTGCACATGAGAGAAAATATATGGCATTCATCTTTTGGTGTCAATGTTCCACTCTTGTTTCCAGGTATCGTGACTTCCGAAACCCACCAGGACACCCACAAGAGTATAAACACAATATCTACTATTGGCATGTAATTGCTGCTAAGCTGGCTTTTATCATTGTCATGGAGGTAGGAAAAATATACTTCAAAATAGTTTATAAGACAGTTTTTGCTGGCCTTCGATTTAAGTATTGCCAACTCTATTTAAAATGTATAATGCTTTCTTCCTTACTGCTTGCTAATAATTATTTTTAAATGTGGATTAATCAAATTTGGCCTGAGAATACCCATAATGCTCAAATTAGTGGAACTGGTTGTTTGCTTTAAAACTTAAAAAGCATGTTATGAGCAAGGGGGATTAATTTCCATTTAATACATTAAGTACCTTTTTTCATTTGGATACCGAGCAGCATGTTGAACTGTGAAAGAGCTTATAAGTGCAACATGACCTCTGCCCACAGGAAACTTATTGCAATAGTGTTATTCAACTGTTGCATTTTTATAATATATCAACTTCTTACAGTAGTTTTTATGTTCCTGAAATTAACTCTGAGAAAAATGACTAAGGCAGTTGTAAACTGTCAGTTGATCTAGCCAATTTCTTTTCAGAATAAATAACTAATGCCAATTACAAAGCCTCAGAATTTGTTATGTGAAAAGCCATACCAACCCCTATTTGTTGAAGCCACTATAAGTAGGTTTTCTGCCTCTTACAACCTAAATGCAAACACCAAAGAACCAACTCTGAGGCTTTATAATTTGATTTTTTAAAAAATCAAAGTGGGTAATGGAGAAGAATAGATGAAAGTCATCAGGTCATGGAGCAGAAAGCATGACATATATTAGGGAGAAGAAAAGAAATTCACATTTAAACATTGTAAGGAAAATGAGTAGACCAAAGATAAGATTGTAACCAGAGGAAAAAGACAGATGAATGAAAAAGAAAGTTAAATTAGAATGAGAGAATTTTCAACAGCAACAATGAGAAAGCCAGAAGAGAGTGGTCTGATATCTTCAAAATGCTAAAGAAGGTAACTGTAAACCTGGAATTACAGCAAAACTTCAAAAACCCCAGACCATATGGTTTTATTGGATAGTGACACCAAGCTTTCAGAACAGATTGTTTTAAATCTTATACATTCTTCTTCAGAGAGCAGAAACGGGAAATAATATCCAACTTGTTGGGTGGGGCTGAGAGTAGAATACTCTAGATCCTAAAATCAGGCAGAAAAAAAGAAGGAAAAGTAAGGCCAAGCTCACTCTTTTAGAATATGTAAACTATTTCTTGCAATATATTTTTAAAAGATAACATCATACCACATTGGATTTAACCCAGAAATGTAAGGATGGCATAACACAGAAAATTCACTTACCCATACATATTACCCAACTCAGAAATAGGTGAAACTTAAAAATATAATTCCTGTCTTCCTTACATCATTACATCATCACATACATTACCAGTTCTGCTCCATTTCTCTCTTCCTTATCGGGGCCAGTGCCTGTGAATGAGTTGTCAGTTTCCTGTCCATGATTCTTTCTCTGCTCACTCCAGTCATGCTTTCACTGTCTCCCTCCATGAAGCCACTCTTGACAAAAGTTACCTGTGGCAGCATGTTGGTGAATTTCCATGATCACTCGTCCACATTTGACACAACTTATCACTCATTCACTTCTTTAAGCTTCCTCACTTGGCTCCCAGGAAAACACATTTTTAAAAAAACAGTAAAGAAACAAGAAAGGTCACTGCATTATGATAAAGGGGGGGGGGTCAATTCACCAAGAGAAAATAACAATTATAAGTTTATATGCATCTAATATATAAAGCAAACATTAATATATCTAAAGGAAGAGAGAAACTTCCACACAATGCTAATTCAGGACTTTAATCATCAAGCCAGAAAATACACAAAGAAATACCCAAGTTAAATTGCATCCTAGACCCAGTCCTGATGTCATCTACAGAATAGCCACAAAATAGGCATTCTTTGCCAGCACACGGAACATTCTCCAGAATAGAATAGGCCATAAAACAAGTCATCAAATTTTTAAAAATTTGAACAACCAGTGGATCAGTGAAAAAATAAGGGAATTTTAAAACAAATGATATGGAAGCACAACATACCCAAACCTATGAGATAGAGCAAAAGCAGTACTAAGAGGAAGTTTATAACAAGTGCCCCCATCAGAATAGCAGGAAAATCCCCATAAATAACCTCTCATTGCTCCTCAAGGAACTGAAAATAGGACTTCTCTTCTGCACTCAACCTATGACTCCAGCTGCCTCTAAGACCTTTGTACTTGGATACATATCTTATATCTACTGCCCTAAATCTGTTCCATCTACAGTCTTCCTCATCTTGATTATGGCATCTCTCTTTAGTCTTTGCCAATATACACATATGCAGGTTAATCCATATTTTTAAAGATTCTACTGTAGTACTCACAAATATATTTGGGCATTAGAGATTGGATCTACCACCTAGTACAGATACCCTACCATAATGACAAGCAAAAATATATTAAAGGAACACTGTGTTTGCCTCTATTTCTTTGTGACTGACATTTTTCTTCTCTCCTGCAGCATGTCATCTACTCTGTGAAGTTTTTCATTTCATATGCAATTCCAGATGTATCAAAAAGCACGAAGAGCAAGATCAAGAGAGAGAAATACCTAACCCAAAAGCTGCTGCATGAGAGTCACATCAAAGATATGACCAAGCACATGGGAGTTATAGCTGAGCGGATGGGGGAAGTGGCGGATAACAGTTTACGACCAAAATTAGAATAAGGGCTTTATGTCCTGAGAAGCACTTTCAAGAATTTCATTCTTTTCAAAATGTACTGCGAATCACTAATGAGAATGTTTAAGTTAAATCACGTCAGCAAATACAAGTCCTAACTATTGCCGTTTTCATGTATAGTATTTTTCAGTTTCAGCTGGCCATGCAGGAACTGGAAAATGTAAAACCTAGATCAAGAAGGGCACAAAACTCAACACCTGGAAAGCCAGAATGTTACCTTTTTTTTTTTTTTTGAGAAATTGGAATTTAAGTAATGTGAGTAATGCAGAAGTCCTTCAGAGTGCTTAAAAATCATCCCTTCAAAGGCAGAGGGATTTTTTTTTTTTCCCTTTTTGATCACTTTCATTCTTTCCACTTCTGAAACACATGATCACCTTTATTTTTAGTCACTGTTCCTCACTTTGCCAAATCTGTTCCAGAGTTATCGTTTCCTCATAGTACCATCAAAGACACCAGACATGCTACCGCCTTAATAGCTTCTGTGCGATTAAAAATAACTAACTCAGAATTGAGTTTGAATACTATGTTAAGTGGCAGATAAACTCGATATGTAAGTGAATTATCACAGCCCCACAGAAAGGAAATCTCATTTAATAAGAAGTTTCAGTCTTCATTTTGGCCTGCCCCTTGCATCTCACAGAAATATACTTAGTGGATTGGGATGAAGATAGTAGGGTTTTGAAGCATATTTGTATTAATCCTCCATGACACCTTTTTCTTCTGGGCATACTCCTAGAATGCCCTGTGCCTAATCAATGTTGACTGCTTTGCAGCTCTCAAGGGAATAAGATGACAAAAGTAAGGAAAAGTAAGTAATGATCTGGATAATTAATTTACCTCTCCTAAATATGTGTAATTTCTTAGGGAAAATGATGATCAAATGATTACAATTACAGTTTTATCAACATAATGGTCTAAAAAAGGATAAGCTCATCAGTTTCCCAACTGTTGACTTTTGTTCACTAGAGAGAGGAGAAATGTTCTTACAAATCACCAAGCGCCTTCCTGAATGCCTTACTCCATAACCCTGTGGCATGGTCAGAGGGACAGCGACTGCCCAGTTGTGAGCCTTGCTGTCCTGGTTCTTGTGTGGGGAGCTCATTTCATCAAGAATCCTACCTTTCTGTATTCCAAAGTGACCAGCATACCAAAGCACCTGCCACAAGGAACGAACATGGCTGCCTACACCTTCCGTCCTCTTATTCTAGCCCCAGTAATTCCTTTGTGATTGTGTTTGCACTAGAGACCAGAGTCTACCCACGTTGTAGCTAATCAAAAAAGACTCAGGATTTAATTTGAGCTTCCAACTTCCTTTAGGGCCAATCAAGCAGTGAAGGGGTAAAAAGAATGGATTGGTCATAAGCCCTACCATCACCTGGAGGCCACAGCCTGCTGAATCCTATACCACAATGCCTATCTTGCTCAGCCTCGAGGTCTCCTGTGCTTCATCACATGTGGGGCTGAAAAAAACACAGGCCTCAACCTCTCATCCTTCACTGGTACAGGTCAGTGCTGGGTGAAAAAAGAGGTGACTTGACCATGATTGTATTGGATGGGCCTCTACCTATTGGGACACTGTTAAATGCTCAACTGTCTCAGGAGCAACCTCCCAGAATCCTGCAGCACAGGAAAGTGAAACACATTTCAAGCAATCAGATTCTAGAGGCTTGTTATAGTAAAAGTAGCTTAGCTCCAGCTCACAATTTTAAATACCTGCCATGAATGTTTTAAATTGAAAAAAAAAGAAGACCACATGCATAATTTGTCAAAGCAGTATTCTGGGCTTTTCCCATGAATGGAAACACCAATTCTCCATCTTTCTTGAATGTATGTTAGTGGTACAGTCAGAGTCCAAGACAGGCCACATGAGGTGCAGCTGTCCTGGGATGGGGAGATGGAGGCCTCCCACCTTCCCATTCCACACAGCCTAGATGAGGTCCCACTGTTCTTCCCCCACCCTGTGTGAGATGATCCTAGAGGTATACATCGCTTCCGTTCTCATTACCTCTTCTTCCGAAGTGTGTGACCATCTAGCAGTGGATTGGGCAATTGCTCACTGTTTATGTCACCATAGAAAGAACATGTTTTTACCTTATCTCTTTGTATATATGACATGATTTCAAAAGAAATGTGTATTTATGTGTTCGTAACCCCTGTAAGAGAATCCTTTTCAGTTTAAAATGTGCTGCTGTGGACAGGAACAACAAAAACCCTCTATATCTATAAAGGCAGAAAACATGATGTCTGACCCTGCCAAATGCCCAAAAGAGTTGGAGTGGAGACCAGGGTCCCTCATGACATCAACAGTGGTCAGATGCATCCAATGTTGAGTGGTCAGTGGTTGAGAAAAATGGGGTGGGGGAGCGGTGTGTGCAGATTGTAGCAGGCTGCATCTGTAAATAGGAATGGAGGCTGCTCCCTTCCCCAGGAAAACCACAGGGCATGAGAATGGGCCTGTGAAGGAAGGATCTAGCCCTTGACCTTGACCTGTCCAGTGTTAACCACTAGAGAAATTTTAACTTTATGTCTTTTTGAATATCCTGTGAATTTTAATGGAATGAAGCCTTAGACCAAAAACTCGGGATTTTTCTTTAAACATCCCTCAGATATTTTAGATATTTCATTTTAAGTGGAAAGCCATCATTTTTGTTTGGAGACTAAACAAGGCCATCCTGTAAAATGTTTGTCACCTATCTCTCCCCTTTTTATTGCTTATGTATCTTGAATTTCATAGAACATTAGTTCACAATAGGGGGCAGAATGTCATCTGTTGGTAAAACATTTCCTGTTCCATTTTCTTGTGTTCATATTATAATGTGTTTGAAAAGTTAAAATGTATGAGTATCTTAATTAAGGTAGAACTTAAATATGTTGCTTTTCATACACTGTGGCATAAGATGTAAAGTTTGTAATTAATGTTTGTTGATTTCTATGCATTTTAATATTCTTTTATAATTATGAGCATTTTAATAAATTCATTTTTTACAAAGTACTGTGGTCTATTCTAATTATCTTAATGTTTTTTAAGGAAGAAAACAGTTTATATCTGCTATTTAGTAGTGGCCAGTTATGTGTTGAGATAATAAATGTGCATTTTTTGTGTAGATTATATCTAAAATTATACTTTTCACAACCTGCATTTACTTTGGAACATAATTTTTCTAGTAAAACAAAAAAGGGGGGACAGAGTTTTAGACAGGCAGGTGCATACAAATGTTGGACCTGAGCCCTGCAATAGGCAGTGAGCGTGGAGACTGAGTAAAAGTTGAAGACCAGCCCACCTGCTCACTGAGCCACATGCCCTATTCGACCATTACAAAGAAGGAAGGGGTACCATCTTCCTCTTGCTAAACCCCAAGCTTGCTGGAGACAGTGTCACCCAGAGAGGACAAATCTCTCTAAGTATCAGTCACTTTATAGACCCACAGCAGTCCTGGGTGCAGAAAGGGGAAATTACAGAAAAGCACATACAGCATAATCCCATTATAAAAATCAACCTTTTCTTTATCCTCAATAACAAATAATCTATCCTTGCATTTTCCTGACCAGTTTAAATCTCAGTACACTTACCAAATAAAATTGGAAGTTGAATATATTCCTTAGCTGGGACAATAGGAAGAAGCACTGTCTTATCACTAAATGACACTCTTGGGACCAATACTAATAATAGCCTTCCTCCCTTCAAGCACTATTAGCCCAGTAAACGGGCAACTGCATGTTTATTTCTGATGCAAAATACTCACTTCATTTGGGGGAATTATGGACTCTTAAATACTTACTTAGTATCAATCTGGTTCCAACCAGATAAGTTCAGCCTAGTCCTGTGCTTTTCATAAATCTACCACATTTTGGCAATGACTTCTCTTTTGGCAATAGTGGGGTTCAAACTCAGGACCTCATGCTTGCTACACAGGTGCTTTACCACTTGAACCACACCCCCAGACCTGTCAATGACTTAAAAAACTTTTTGGTAAAGAGTCTTTTATTCATATGTCATACTTCTCTACTACAAAAAAATATTTAAACTTTATTTTTTTACATTTTTATTAGCATATATTAATTTTTGGTTCCACTTGCAAATTTAATTAAATGTGTTAATATATCTTAAGAGGACAACAGTTGAATAGAGCAGCCTAGTCTCACGTCCTCCTCCACAAAGAAGAACCAAAGTAACAGGTGTGTAGTTGCATTTTGAGGTGAGTGACCATGGAAGAACACTGTAAATTACCAGGAGAGAGACTAGAACCAAGATTTAGAGGCCTGGGACAAAAACACAGTAAGAAAATGTCCCCAAAATCAGCTACTCCAGGGGAATCTGCCCTTTGCAGCAATAAGAATGAAAGAGGGTCCCAGTAAGCACAGTGTGGATGCTAGTGATCCTAGCTACTGGAAAGTTTCACCATCCTCTCAGGCTTGCAACCAACATAGATAAGTAACCTGAAATCTGAGTGGGAGCCTAGCTTTGGAAAAGGTTCTCACATCATCTCCTAGGGAACACAAGAGGTGTATCTTGAGAAATAAACAATTCTACCACATCGACCTGAGCCCCACTTGGCCTAGCTACTCTGACCCAAGCTTGCTGGGTACTCTGCACTGTAGGAGATGGGTGTTACAACCCAGAGGAGAATCGAGGACAGCACACTTCACTGATGATCAGGCAGCTTACCCTCTGGAGCTTGCCAAATGAAGACTCATGCCAGTGCTTAGAATAAAGACAGGCACCCACATGGTTCCCACATCCCTCTCCCCCACCACACGTGTGCATGTGCATAATGTTAGGCTGGGGAGGAAACTGCAGTACCATTTACTTTCTCACCCACACAGGTGTACTGTGGGTACCTTGAGCAACTCTGTGGGTCTGGCTGTTGCCAAGCCCCAGGTGTGCAAGACAAGATGGAGACCAACTATAACTTTGCCCAACACTGGCCAAAGTCCCACTCCTGGGCAGGCAGTAATACCAAAGCAACAGAGAAGAATACTACCATTCTTGCTGCCACTGCACCTACTCAGTTCCCTCCTTGTCTGACCACAAACTGCTATCAAGACTGGAGATGAGCACCACAGAGAGGATACTGTGGCTCCTGCCACTGTTGCTTCCCACATAACATCTGGGTCCATATGACTGACCAATCAGAGGACAAGTGTTTCGGGCCCCTTACCACTGCTGGGGTGCTGGTGTCTTGCTAGTCACAGAGTTTGAATCAGCAGTGCCTGAGGAAATCCCCATTTATTTATAGCAGCCACCATTCTCAATATAGATGTAGCCACACAGTGAGCATTGCATACCCACTACTCTGTGTACCACACCTGCATGGACTGCTACAGTTTCCCTACTCATGCATGGCCCACAAAGACAGAGGGTCTTTCTGACTCCATTAGTGTATGCACAGCTCCCAAATTTACTGATCACAGCCAAAGTAGCAATAGGAAGACCACACTATGGTTCCCACCTAGAATCAAAGCCAACATTGCATAAGAAATTGGCACACCAAGCCACATCTTCAGAAGAAGGGTTCTTCCTAAGAAGTCCACCTCATAAAAACAGTAGAGATATGTTTTCTTCCAGATATGTATACTTCAATGTAGGAATCCAATGAAAATTATAAGGTAATATGTTGCCTCCAAAAGAACATAATTCTCTAGCAATAGATTCCAAAGAAATCAAAATGCATGAAATGCCTGATAAAGATCTTGAATGATTTTTTTAAGCCTGGAGAGATCCAAAGGAATACAGATAAACAGTTAAATACATCAGGAAGACTATAGGATGTGAATAAGAAATGAATCAAAAAAGATTTTGAAAAAGAACCAAATGTAAGTTTTAGAAATGAAGACCTTAAAAAGTCAGGGGAGGGGGAAAGTCAGGGAAAAAGTCAATTGAAAGCCTCAACAGACTAGATTGAGAACAGACAGTGTCTGAACTCAAACACAGTTTATTCAAATATCCCATTCTGACAGAAGGAAAAAGGTGATAGAATAAAGAGAGCATTCAAGATCTTTGAGATACCATTAAACATCTGCACTTTTGGAATACCCAAAGGCAAGGAAAAAAATGTTAATAGCATAGAAAATACATTCAATGAAATAGTATCACAAAAAATCCTAATCTTGGAAAGATATGGACATCCAAGAACAGGAGGCTTATAGAACCCCAAATAAACATGACCAAAAAGAACTTCATCTTGGCATATTACAATCAAACTGTCAAAAAAACGAGACAGGAATACGATCCAAGATGGCAACTAGATGGAGGAAGCAGACAGCATGAGCTCCATAAATCAAAAATTTTATGAAGACACTGGAGCCACATTTGGCAGAAAAAAAGCACCAAGAAGAAGCCAAATTCTGACACCCTGAACCCCCAGCCCATACAAAGCTTCTCCACACCACATTACACTGAGAAAATAGTAGGGCTCCCGTGCCTCCAGATGCTGGCTCCAAACCTGCTTGGGAGATGCAGACCCACAGACCAGAGACAGAAACAGCACTAAATGGAATGATGGGAAGACAAAAAAAGGATGGAAACCATTCTCCCTCCAAAAATAAATCAGTACAGTATTCAGAGGGAAATGAACAAAACGGATACCCAGTTCTAGACTCCAACAAAACAAAGACAAACTATCCCAAGGAACCCAATGAAGCCCATACAAACACCCTGAAAGAAGAAATCACTGAGAATTTCATGGAGATGTTACTAGACAAGGTCAACCAAAAACAAATAAATGAAATCATAGGAACCCTAAATAAATATCAAAGTGAAACAGAGAACCCCAAAAATAGAGAGATAAATGAATTAAGAATGAAAATTGACAATATTAAAAAGGAAGTGACCCATGATATGGAAAATCTCAGAAAAAAGAATGAAACATAAATACAAAACAAAATGGAAGGCCACTCCAGCAGACTAGAACAAGCAGAAGACAGATCTCAGAACTTGAAGATAAATGGAAACTAAGGAAAACTGAAGAGTATTACAAACACTCAGACTGTGAAAGAATATGCAAGAATTCACCGACTCCATCAAAAGACCAAACCTGAGAATCCTGGGCATTGAAGAAGGAGAAGAGGTGCAAGCAAAAGGAATTCATAATATATTCAACAAAATAATAACAGAAAATTTCCCAAATCTAGAGGAAAACTAGAGGCACAGGAAGCTTCAGGACACAAACAGACTTGACCAAATAGAACTACC